AGATATTATTATTATTATATAAGCGTTAAACAACACTATATATAACTCATAATAATAGCCCAAATAATTATTTTAAGGACCTAATAACATTACTATAATTATTTAAAAGCTATATTAAAATTTTCATAGGCGTAGCTCACTTACAGCGGATTTTAAAGAAAACCGGGCTTCGCTTAGAGCAGTGTTTCCAAACCGAAAGACCCTTTTTCTCGAGACTTCGGGAGCCTCGGGGCTTCCTTCGGATGCTAGGGGGTTCACCTAGGCTTTAGGGGGCTTAAGGGGGCTTAGAGAGAGACTCTAGAGAGAGAAAGAAAGCTTGAGAGGTGTTAAGAATGCTCTACCCCCGACCATCTATTTATAGGAGGCTGAAATGGCTCTCACGTCGTGAATCTCTTGATGTTCACGTCGTGAGTGAGCTTGGGCTCCAAGTCACAGCCTGGTGCTGACACGTGGCATCGCACACAGGGTGGAAATTAGCCGATTTTCAAAAATTCATAACTTTCGCATACGAGCTCCGTTTTCGACGTTCTTTATATCCACGCGTAGGTAAAAATAAGATCTACAACTTTCATTTTGACTCTGTCGGCTAATTCTCGACCGATCTTAAATTTAACAGCATGAGGAGATTAGACTGTTAAATGACCGCGAAGAATTCGCAACTCTTTCATATGGACTCCGTTTTTGTCTGTCTTTTTACCGTTGAGTTCCTATTAATGAGATCTTCAACTCTCATTTAGGTCGCGTAGGCCAAAAACCGCTCGAACTAAAATTCGAGTTTCGGGTCGTGCACTACTAAGCCGAAACTTCGAAAAATCATAACTTCCTCATACGAAGTCAGATTTGGGCGTTCTTTTTATGGACGCTCTCGGTTTAACGTATACTACAACTTTGGTTTTGATTACTAAGGCCAAAAAGTCCTCTATCGTAAATTCACTATTTTACGTTTCCCGGTGTCGTGCCGGTTCTGTCGCGAAACTTCGACGGGTCTATAACTTCTTCGTTATAACTCGGTTTTCGGCGTTCTTTATATGTACAGAACCCTTGAGACATATTCTACAACTTGGTTAAGATTATTTATTCTAAATAATATTTTGTCGAAAAGTCGTTTTCGACCCCTATTATCTCTAAATTGACTAGCCCGGATCTACGGGCGTTACATAATGGGTCGAAAATTCTTATTGGGCCCAATGTGTTCTCGGTTACCCTTCAAGACCCAAAACCTTCTTTTCTCCCTTCTCCTTGGGCCGATCGGTTAGCCCATTAAAAAAAAGAGAGAGAAAATTCCTAACTTGCCACCTCATTATAACCTTACATGCATGTAAGTTTATTATCCAACAAACAACTAAGACCCTCACATCAACTCTAGCTAGAGTCAACCCCTATCACCCCCTCCCATTTGGATCGGCCGACTTAACTCCCCCTCCATCCTCTCTCCACTCTTCACTTCTAACTTTCACTTTATCTCATTTCCTCTCTACAATCAACATCTTCACATCCTTTTTCTCTATAATTTTCGTGTGGGTGTGTGTGTATTCAAAGAAGACTTCATCCAAACTCCACAAACTTGGTAAGTTTTTGACAAACTCCTTTGCTTTATTCCAAGTTTATATAAAAGATCCTTTCCTTACTCTCTCATTTTCGTGATTATGATCTTACAACACCATAACCTCAAAAATCTTCTCAAGGAAGCAAGCTAGGGCCGAAAACCTTCTCCATTCTCCTCTAGAAAATCAAAAAAGACCCAAGGTGAGCTTCATACCCCTTGTTTTCGAGTTTTTCCTTGTTTGGGGGGGGGGGATACAAGTCAAGGTATTGTTTAAAATCCATGGATATTTGCTTACATGTGTATGTGTTATATGTTATATGTGTGAAATGTTGTGATCTCATGCTAAAAGTTCATAAACTTGAGATTTGCACAAGTCTCAAGTTGTTGGAAACAAATTATCTTGTGTAGTTTAAATGTTTTATGTGTTATCTTTGAAGTGTGATAAAATCACCATAATTTCAAGGAAAAATATTAAAACATATGTGGGTGTAAAAAGATTTGAAAGTTGATAAAATATGAGAATTTACACTAAAAATGGTAACATTTTGGAGATATTGCATTTTATCTGAAAAACTAGTGAAAAAGGGCCATTTATGACAACTTTAGTAAAAATGGGTCTTATATGACACTTTTGGTAAAAATGGGCCTTATACGACAATTTTAGTAGAAATGGGCCTTTTATGACAATTTTGGTAAAAATGGGCTATTTTTGACACTTATGGTAAAAATGGACTATTTTGACACTTATGGTAAAAATGGACTATTTTTGACACTTATGGTAAAAATGGGCTATTTTGACACTTATGGTAAAAATGGACTATTTTTGACACTTACAATTTGTAGTCGAAAATATACACTAGTAACATTATTTATAACGTTAAATAATGAAATTCAATATTCGCGTAATTTCCGTTAAGGCTCTTGTGAGACTCTCCTTCACTCGTACCTACTTAGTGTACATCGTAAGTCCTGTAGTTATAACCAGAGTCTCCTGGAGGGAGAGCGGGATATTATGTATAGATCTATATGGGGTTGACACCCCCACACCTGAGCTGTTCGTTACAGCTAGACAGACCAGTCTAGGGTGACAATTATCTTTAGAAACCGACGCCTGAAGAACGTCAAGACGGGCGCTTTAGTCACATTAGTATGGTTGTAACGACTCACATAGAGAATAACATTAATCTTATAAAATTTACGCATAACATATACTCTGCTCATTTTATAAAGTACCAAACTACGTGTCGTCTATTTCGCAACGAATTTCACCACTTGAGTCTTAGGGTTTTAAGACCACAACTTTTCAAATAACAGAAAATATAGGATTTTCTGGGAATCACTCTTTATATATTTTCAAACAAGATAAAACAAGAATATACATGCAATTATACATGATTTGAAACGAGACTCACAAACTGTTTTTTTATAATAAAATATTGGATTTTCTGGAAGTTTACAAACTATTAAAAAGTTTTCTTACAAACATGTTTATGAACTCACCAACATTCTATGTTGATGCTTTTCAAAACGACTTGTATTCTCAGGGACTCAGTAAACAGGTTTACAGCTATGGATTTTTGGATGATTGTTGTATTTTTGGAAATGTCATACATTGTATTATTATTGTGATGTAATTTCATGAAAAAACACAAAGTTGTAAACAATACGCGTTGGTATCTGAATGTATGATGTTTGGTTGCTTGTCTCATTTATAATCAACTGTTATAATATTACCAGATGAAGTCACCCGCCCCCGGACATTTCCGTTGTCGCGGTTCGGGGGTGTGACATTATTGCATTGTACTTTATATATTATTTAGTTGTAAGGGATTTTCTAATTAAGTCCTTAAAAGTTAAGTCATGTTTCAGTCAAATTAACAAATCCCTAAGGTTATTACGACTTAACATACATATATACGAGTTTGCACACACACACACACGCACACACACACATATTCATGCTTGCATACATTATACACACATACATTATACAATCAAGTTTGCATATACATATATCATACACACATATACATATATAAATTCCATATATGTACACTTATACATACCAACACAAATATTGCATACAAATACATATATACATACAAATACACTTAAACATACAAATACACATAATGTATAGGAATACACATATACATACAAATACATATAATGCATACAATTTTTATGTTTTCAATGTAAACATATACATTTATACAAATACACATATTACACACATTTATACATACATTACATATTCATACATTATATACACATACATGATCAATATGAAGAATTGGACGAAAATACTTCATGAAATGGAATAAAACCTGTTGTGGAACGAAACCAGAATGGTGTTGGTGTGCGGTGGGTTAAATCCGACAACGGTGGTGACAACAAGAGCAAGGAGGTCAACATTGCTAAAATCACGAAATCAAACATTAAAACTCCACTAGATGGTCACCGGAGAGAAGAGAAAGAGAAAAGAGGGAAGGAGAAGGACATGTGGTCGTCGTCAGCTATGGGGGTCGCCAATGATGGAGTTTTTCGTCGTCGGTGCCGATGCAACTTGTGTCATCGGTGATGCAGGTTGTCGTCGTTGATAAAAAAAAGAGGTTTGTCGTGTTCTAATCGCTAGTGGTGGTGGTCGGATTATCTCGAGAGCAAAAGGCGTCTCTAGGGTTAAGTGGCCACCGTTTGGAGGGAACGTCTCGCGGGTAATTTTTTCAAGTATTAGCGGTGACATATGTCGCCGCTAAAAGTGTGTACGACAATGGATTCTAGACGTTGGATTAGTGACCAGATCGACGACGGATAGGGAGTAAAGCCAGATTTTGACGCGGATGAATGACCTTTAGTGGCGATGCCTTTAGCGGCGACATCTAAGAGTGTCGCCACTAAAGGGCATTATTCTTGTAGTGTAGTGAGATGAGATGTCATGGAGTTCTTCAAACCCTTATGGCAACATCCCTATTCATTATTTGAAGAAAGATAAGGAAAGAAAATGGCTAACTTATTTATTTATTTATTTATTTATTGAACAAGGCTAGAAGAGCATACAAACAACACAGCACAATAAAATACAACACAAGCTCAAAGTAAAACAAATTATCCATCACCAAAACCAACCAACTATACATGCAACAAGAAGTAACATGAACTACATGCATCAAGCATAAAAGAAGCACCAGCCAAGCAACACAACGACAACAGAATTCCAGAAAACGAACCAAGGGGCAAAATTGACAAACGACCTCACAACATCAGCACAAAAGCAAAACAAGGCACACACAAGTGGTGAAATACCACCCAATGCTGCAGAAATGCAAACAACTTGAAACGTCCCAAGTGGCAGAACCGTCAAACACCAGAAAACAAATAACATTGAGACACCAACTCGGACAACATCCACACAGGAACCACATCAGTTAGGGGTAAAAGCGTCAAAGCCCCAAAATTAATCAAGGAACAAGAGTGTAATATACTCTTTAAAGGTATTTTCTGGAAACGTGTACCCATCATCGTATCTATATGTGATATCTATCATTCTTGCAAGATTAACAATTGGACTAATCAGAATGAATTCGCATCTAGGTTTTTATATATGTGTTCGTATTTTGTTTCAGGACTCACTCACTTAAAATACAATAAAGTTGCATGGAATATGAAGAACGGGAGTGTATTCTACTAGAATACACTCTCATTCTTCTAGATATGAATTCATTCTGAAAGAATATTATTGTTGACATTAATGACGAATTTAATTAGTTTTCATAAAAATGAGTTATAAGTATGGATAGCATTTAATATACATATAATTAATACTAAATTCCTATTGGTACATTCTAGCACACAATAGATGTGAGAAACATTTGAACCTACCTCTCTTTCTCTCTCTCTCTCTCTCTCTATATATATATATATATATATATATATATATATATATATATATATATATATATCCTTCCAAATGTTAATTTTAAGGGCTTGATAATCAAGGTGTCTGAACCATCTCTTTTATCAATGATTAAGCATGGAGATTTTTGTAGATGGATTGTATTACATCGATCTTTATGCAAAGCACAACTTAAAATCTTCAAGAATTGAAATATGCGTTTGCATTTGCTAGTGCGTCATTTTTGCAACTAAAGTTTTTCTTTTTCCTTGGCATAACTATTACTTACTGTGAGATAATTCGAAGTTCTTCCTTCTGTAAGAGTTGTAGGTACTTGAAGTGCACCTTAGCAAGGTTTAGTAGTGAGTCGTACGTGGAGCATTCATCTTCATAATTGAGAAAATATAGCTTTGCCTCTACCATTGGATGCCCACAAGGGTGTCTTCAATTCGTGTTTCACTTGTTGTGCAAGAATACCTTCGAGTGTATTTTCAACACTCTTAAGTTGAGCTTCTGTGAAAACAAATGCCTCCTCTAAAATAGACTCTCCTCTTATTCTCAACTGCGTGCACTCATAGAAACTTAGCATGACCCTCACATCAGTAATCATGTCTTCTTTGAATGCACCGGAACTACAATCCTTGAATTTTTTAAACACATCTGCACAATCATCTATTTGTGTCATATTCAATTCTTTTAACAGAATAATTGAATGAAACGCCGTTTAAAATATTATTTCCGAAATTTCAATATATGATGACTTACTCACTTACCAGAAGATAGTTTGTAACCATGGCTTCTGAAAACTTGAAAGTGAATAGAAATTGTATAAAGATCTGCTTCATGGTAATCTTGCAAGTTCAGCTCTTTGAAAAGTTTATCAAGTTGGCCATCGATGTCTTCCATGAAATGATAACTCAAGACAAGACGATACACGTAATAAATCAAACTCAGTTTCTTGGTTGAGTCAATAGTTTGGTCGATTATCAATCTTCTCAGTTGTTCTTTAGGCTCCTCCATAGCCTTAGCAAGTGCTTCCAATTGCTAGAAAAGGAAACAATGTATTACTTAACAAACAAATGCAAAAATATCATTTATTACGATATATTAATCAAAGGAACATCTTACTGAATTGTCAAGAGAGAATAATAAGAAGCGATCACCCCACATGGAAGGAGGGAAGTCGGTCAAAGGACGGACCGGCTCCATGGTGGGTTTGGTGTTTTTGCTTGGAGGATAACGTTAGTCGGTGCAATTAAGCCTTTTGTTTTGATCAAAGACGATTCACTGGAGGTTTATGGATCAGTGCAACATTATTATATATTATGGTATTTACAAGCTGGCATGCATTTCGTACGTGCATGTTGCTTTTTTAATTTGGCATCGATTTGGAAAGTAAAAGAAAATCAAGATAACCCAAGTTATGAATTTTAGCAATTTAAAAACTAATAAACTAAAGGAATCGTCCATGTCGCTTGATTATGCCAATATCATGCTCAAATCTCAATCTAAATTTTAAATATCTCCCTTAAAACAGTTAATAAATAGCAATTAACTTTTTTATTTAGAGCTCCTACTTATTTTTACCCTAAGCCTCAAATATATTTGCACCTACCTTCAAAAAAACCCAAAAAGTTATGGGTTTGTTTTTCGGTTTGGATCGACTTTAAAATATAATCTTTGTTTATTGAAAATATAATTTTAATATTACCTCAAGATTTATATATATAGTTTTTAAGAGAACAAATTTTATAATCCAGAAAGAATTAACAACTTGTTGCCGGTATGTTTTTCGATTCCATGTCGAGGTTGAAAACGGATGTATGTGATGTAAAAAATTTTGTTGGATTACTATAGTACTATGTATGTGTTTTTTAAAAGGACAAGACTTTATTAAAAATAGAAGAAACACTAGCGTGATCTTAGGGGAAAATTACATCGGATAACAAGCCCATGTATCCTAATTCAAATTCCCGACTCCTTACCTCTACATTTAAGCCAGTAAAACAAATGTGTGAAGTAGTGAAAGTTGAAAAGTAAGACGGTAATTACGTTCTACGTGGTATCTTACTCAGTTACTTGGGAATCATTATACAAACTCATTCATATTTTTAAATATAATTATAAATTTAAAATAAAGGATATAATAATTAAAAAAATACAATGCTTAAAAATACATTAGCTAAAAATTATAAAATGTAAACATATAATACCTAAAAATTTATTAATTAAAAAACACGAAACCAAAATAATATAATATCAAAAATATCATTAATTTTATTTTTGGTTTAAATAAAAATAATAATATGAAATTATAAAATAATATGAAAATATGATTACATATATATTTGGTTTGAAATTTAATTGAAAAAAAAAATTTCTTTCAAACACTCATTGTCAACTCAACTCAACCCAAATATCTAATAAAAAACTATTTTCTCTAAATTCCAACGTAATTTTTTTTGAACTGACAAACAAATATATAAATAAAGAAACTGCCTCTAGCAAGTAGCTAGAGACGGGGTAGTACAAAGTTAAAAAGTACAAGAAAGGAAGCTTAAATACATAACAACGAAACTGAGCACCATTTGTTCCAATTCGAGGTCCTACCATAAGTTCTCTGAAAATTGATCCAAGTGAAAACAAGAGATTTTATCATGTCTGCTACCTTTGCTTGTGAAGTTCGCCGGTTATTAAAGAGTCGATCATTCTTCGCCTTCCAAATGCTCCACAAGGTTCTATAACAAATAACTTTTATCCGCATTAGCAATCCAATCAAATCCCTTATTTTATTTTTTTATATTTATAAAAAACTATATCTAACATTAGTCTATTTTGAAGAGAATTTTCTTTTATGTATTTTAATATATTTTACTTATTTTTAAAATTAATATCACGTATATTTTTTTATAAAATAAATGACATATAAAACTCTTACATTGTCTATGTCATTACTCATACTTCATTTTATCTCTAATCCTACTTATCATCCATTAAATCCTCTACTAAATCCTCCTTGGTTGCCCTTACTATAATGACTCTTATACACTCTTGATCTGATTAAAATGCGAACGTTATTTATACATGTTATTTAAAAAAAAATAATAACAAAAAAAAAAAAAAACAAATGCATGTGCATTTCGTCTAAAAGATTCACCGAAAAAAGAAAACAGAAAAAGAACGTTTCTCATGAGCATTTGTGCACGAAAAAGTTACAAAAAATTTGCATTTGTATATATGAAAACAAGAGGTTATTATTTTTTTTACCGAATCCACGTGTTAGACGAAATGCATATGTTCATATGTTTTTATTTATTTATTTATTTATTTTTTAAATTAACATATGTGCACGTATGTATTTTTGCATCAATGAATCCTTTAATCGATGCATATATGCACCACTGCTGGATTTTTTTTAAATACATGATAAAAAGAAGTTAGTAGGTTCTCACGATATTCAAGTTATCACTATTACTTAACTTTATATATATATATATATATATATATATATATATATATATATATATATAATATATATATATATATATATAGGCTTAAGTTATTCTATTCTAACTAATTATTGTGCGGATATCGTATGCTATGATAATGATAAAGAAAATATGTTGTTTGATAATATAAATACGTTCAATCTTACATAACTATTGTCATTAACACATTCTCACTAATTAAATCGTTTATAAGGTTATTATACAATTATTATTTGTAACACCCCATTTCTGGTATGTAATCTAAATATAGCATTTTCCCTTTTCTTAAGCTGCACTCGACGAGTTAGAAGCTCGACTCGTCGAGTAATGACGGGTTTTGCACGAGAGTTTAGCCGGCAGACTCGGCGACTCGACGAGTCTATATTCTTGGACTCGACGAGTCTGCCAGTCTGGATGAAACCTTAATTCCAAGGGTTTGCACCCTATTTAAACAACCTTATGTGCCCTAAACCAGCCTCCATCACCTGCAAAACGTCCCTTGCGAAACCTTAGCAATTCCTTTAGCATTTTTGAGTGTTTTTCACCTTGTGAAGGATTTTGGTGCATTTTGGGGGTTAGAAGAAGAAGAGAGAAGAGGGGTATTCAAAGAGAGCAAAGAGGATCCGAGTTTCTGGTTACATTTTAGTTCCCATTGAGGTATGAAGCTCGAATCTTTACTTCCTAGCATTTAGATCTCCTTAAAAGCTTGCTATTGTTATTTTTGGGCCATTTCTAGACTTTGATGTCGATGTGAGAGTGGTTGAGGGAATGGGCTTCAGATCTAGGCATTTCTGAGCTCCATGAGCTCAAGGTTGCCACCTTTATTGAGCCAAGTTCCCATTCTAAACCTAGAACTCCACTTTTAGCTTATTTTGGGTATTTAAGCTCTATTTTATCTTGCATGCACGTAAAGTTGGAAACTTTACGTGTAAACCAACCTTAGGAACCCAGATCTATGAATTGGATGCACTGAAATCGACTGAAATCGACTGTATAGTATTGGCATGCATGCGACTCGCCGAGTCGTTCTTAGGACTCGGCGAGTCGGTTTGTAAACCCCCAAATTGTTTTCCCCTTTTTGTGTTCGAGTTGGATGAGTGAATGAAGATTAGACTCGGTGAGTTAGGAAGCAGAATTAGAAATGGAGGGACTCGGCGAGTCTACGCCATGACTCGGCGAGTCCAAGGCAATCTTCTTGCCTCAAGAACAGACTCGATGAGTTGTTCATACAACTCGGCGAGTCACAGACTGGACGTATTCATATGATGAAGGAGAACTCGACGAGTTGTTCATACAACTCGGCGAGTCGGATGAAGTTAGAGTCGACGTTAGTATGGAAGAAGAACTCGTCGAGTTGTTGCCAAACTCGACGAGTTGAAGCGGGTAGAGGATTAGAAAAGGTGTTAGGGACTCGACGAGTTGTCAGCCCAACTCGGCGAGTCCGGTCAACTGGAAGTTGACTTTAACCAGGAAGTTGACTTTGACCAGTATGTTGACTCTGACCAGAGGTAAAATAGTCATTTTACCCTGAGAATAGTTATCAGTATCTGACTTAGTGTTTATGGGATTTGTAGTCGGGGAGTTCCGGAGCAGCAGTCAGCCAGTTTCAGATTTAGCATCTCAGCAGTCAGCGTTACGAGGTGAGTTTTCCTTCCAGTAGGAACGGGTCTACGACCACAATGCCGACCCGTTTAGATGGCAGTAGTTCCAGATTTTGGTCCGATGCAGTAGTTCAGTATGATTGATGTCTTTATGATTCAGGCATGTTTATGTGTTAGTTAGTCCGGACCTCGGTCCGATGCAGTATGCAGTATATGTGCTTATGTTATGTGTCATAATCATGTTATGCTATGCCCCAGTTAGTTCAGATTTTGGTCCGATGCAGGGGGCAAGGCCCCAGTTAGTCCGGACTTCGGTCCGATGCAGGGGGCAAGGCCCCATTTAGTCCGGATTTCGGTCCGATGCAGGGGGCAAGGCCCCAGTTAGTCCGGACTTCGGTCCGATGCAGGGGGCAAGGCCCCAGTTAGTCCGGACTTCGGTCTGATGCAGTGGGCAAGGCCCAATATGTGCTTTATATGTTATTGTATGGTATGTGGTAGTTTGGGGGAGCTAACTAAGCTTTGTGCTTACAGTTTCAGTTTTGGGTTCAGGTACTTCTGCTAGCAAGGGGAAGAGCTCGGGATGATGGCATGGCACACACCATAGTTAGTCAGCCTGGGATGTTTTACTCTGATGATAAGAATATGTTTTGAATTAACTCTCTGATTTTATGTTATGATTCATGTTATGGATTGACAATCGTGGTTTAAGTAATGTTTTTCAAACGAAATTTTTAGTCATGATTTTTGGGTTGTTACAAGTTGGTATCAGAGCCTTGGTTTGAGGGATTCAGGCACACTTTCGGGTATGACTGGACTCAAACTAAGGAAATGGTAAAAGGTTTTCAAAAAGAAAAATGTTTTCAAAAGAATTTTTGGAAAAGAAACTTAAAAAAAAAGAGTTTTTGAGAAAGAGAAAAGGGTGTGGTGCATGCAATCAGCCGAGCTCAAGTAAGTACTCCCAAATTACCCATACAAGTTTATGTTATGATTAGCAGTTTCAGTCTCAGTAGAACAGCATGCTGGAATAGGACTAAGGATCTAGGAGGATGCCTTATGTGCCTGCTATATGTGTTCCAGCTTTATGAGAATTGCATGCTAGTATTGAGTAGACAGTAGTAGGATAGCCTGCTTAGGTTATGCCTGATAGTATGAGCTTAACATTGTATGCTAGTATAGTTTATTGTTATGAGGAT